GACCACAGAAGAAGGAATCTAACTGTGAGCTTGACACTGAGATGTAGACTGGGTCATGGCTTTCACTGGCTGTCTCACAGTTGGATATCTTCCTAACAGATTCCACAGGCAGCGTGAATGGGGTTGATGTGCTCAAAGTGCACTGCAGTGACCCACACTTGATTGTCCAGCTCAAATTCTGCAAGGAGGAGAACTGCCGTAAATTCCTTCAGAGTTACCGAGAGGGAGCGCTCCAGAAGTCTCTCCAGAATCACCTCCAACTCACCCTGTCAATGCCCACCATATCTGTTGAAACAGATCTGAAGACTGGAAGTGAGCATCTCGACAGAATGCTGAATGAAGTGGAGCGCTGCTTAGATTGTATCTACAAAGAAAAGGTGAATTGGTGAGAAAGGATTGTTTGGGGGTGACGGTACGAGTGGAGGACTTAGGAGATGTTGGTTTCAACTTGGAATTCAATAAGGAAAAAAAAATCTTAAAAAGATATAGAAAAACCCCAGAAAAATAGGACTGGAAGAGACCTCTGGAAGTCATATAGTTCTGTAGTGCTCAAACAGAGCCGGATGAGTAACAGGAGGCTGGTCTGGGGGCTGGATCCAGCATGGGCTCAGCATGTGGATTTGGCTTTTAGACTGGCACACAGAGCCTGCATCCTGTCTCTATCCATGCACTGGAAAAGGCCAAAGACAGACCCTGCATGCCAGATCCAGCCACAGATAGGCTCTTTGTGCAAGATCTGGCCATGGAAAGACTGCACATGCTACATCTGGCTGTGGACAGAGCTTGTGCACCAGCTCATACTTATAAGCCAAGTATGGCTGCAGACCAACTGGCAATTAACACTGCCACCGCTCCCTTGCCAAAGAATTTCCAGACCTGTGGGAAGCCCTGTGGGCTGGATGGCATGTGTCCATGGGCTAGTTCTGGCCCACGGGTGGAGGTTGTGCACTACTGATCTAGTTCAATCCCCTTCTTGAGGCAAGATCATCCCTACCTAAACCATTAGGAAAAACTAAAACGGTAGCTTCCAAGTCTCTTGACTACCCCAGGGAATAAAAGCCACCTGCAATATCCCAAAGGAGTAAGTGGCACCTGTTTCACAGCAAGCTGCTTTTTTGCAAGCATATAGGAAACAAAGAGCAAAACTTTCATTTTGGGCCCAAACAATGGACTATTCTAGAAGCTCTGTCAGTTTGGCCTGCTCCTCTCTTTCCATCCCTTCTATGGACTTAATAGACCAACCAGAAAAAAAAGATGAGTGCATTCTCTACTCCCCAGAATGGACTCAGTCTAATTTATGCCTATTAGTGTAACAAATGTTAAAGTGACAAGCTAAGAAGCAGGGTGTTTTTGGCAGCACCCTTTATTGGACCAGCTGTATAGTTGTGACATGTTAGACAAACTTTCAGCCACAAAATCCCCATCCTTGGTGTAATATTATGACAGACTCAGCAACAGAATATGGTGTCATCTTTACCTTTGTACACAGACTGGAACAAAGGAACATTAGCAAAAAAGACAGTTTTTTGCAATTAATCTCTGCATAAAATCTAATGCTTATAGTGCTGGGGGTTGGAACACATGGGTTCTATTTCTTGCTTTGACACTTATTTTTTGGGTCTGATCCTTAGTTGGTTTAAGTTAGGGTAGCTGAGCTGATGTCAGCGGGCCCATCTACACATGCATTAATGCGCTTTTCCTAAGGCACATTTAGTACCTCTGGCATTTATACACATACATTTGTCTGGTATGCACACACTGGAGATCTGGCATGTGAGCTGATGCACCTGGCGTTGCATCACATATGTTTGTATAAATGGTGAAATCTTTGTTTGCGCTGAGAAAACGGTAGTGGTGCACTTTTGAACTAAAACACCTTTGATGTGTTTTAGTTCAAAAGCGCACCACTGCCATTTTCTCAGCGCTGACATGCATATTGCTGTTTATAAAAATGAATGCGCCACAGTGCCAGGCACTTTTAAAAGAGCCTGGTGCTGTGGCACAAGCATATGTACAAATGCCCTCCAATATGAGGTACTAAATTAATGCACATTAGGCTGCCCTAATGTGCACCAGGGCAAGCACATGCTTTTTAGGTGACCTTTAAGGTGCAGCAGCATGTTCTACTGTGCATTCGCATATTAGCAAGGTTTTTTACGCGCCACTTTAATGTGCAGTAGAATACACTACTGTGCATTAAGAGGCATGTGTAGATGTACCCAATTAGGATCTGCTTATAAGTAATAATTAGTAGTAAATTCCCTTCACTCTATGGGTAGTTACTAAACCTGTGTGAAAAAACAAAAATGGTGGGGAGGTGGGGAGGGAGTCCAGGGAAAGCCATGTTTAAAAAAAATGAAAAGTAGTGCAAATCCCTAGACTGTAAGGACAGAGAGGGGCTATTAGACCATCTAGTCTGATCCATTTAACAAGAGCAGTAGAATTTAATCTGGTTGCCCTTGTATTGAGCCTAATGATTTACAATTGACTAAAGCATGTTTTCCACAAAGGCATCAAGCCTTGATTTGACTACTTCATGGGATGGACAATTCAGCTCAAATGACTGCTGCTATTTGCCTTACAGCCTGACCGCCTGAGGGATGAGGAAATTGCAGAGCTGGAGAAATCTCTCAGAAGCCTGACTTGTCGACACGAGAACAATGTGGTTGTTGCAAAGACAAGCAACTCTTTGAACTCCTCATCTCTGCCTTATCCTTCTGGGGCAAGCTCTCTGCCCCAAGGAACCACCTTTATCTTTCAAGGACAGTACTTTGGTGAGTGTTTAATCATAAACTGTCTGAATCCTAAAGTTCTTGCCCATCCTTTCCTCCACTACCATAGAGAGCTAGTAACTGTATGCTGGTTCCAGGTGTCCCTGGATGAGGCAAAAAGTGAACTTCTCAGAGTCCAAGGTAGCAGGGACTATGATATGAATCTAGGTCCTTTATCTAGTCCAATCTCCTGGCTCTGACAATGGACAGCAGTGGATGTTTCAGAGTTTACCACCCTTCCACTCTCTTGAGTTCTCCTCACTGCTGTAACTCTGCCTCACTTTTGCCAGCAGTGAAAAAGGGTGAATTGAAATTTTAGTGTTGTTTCTGCATGCCACATGATTGAAGTCAGTCAGGAGCATTATTTGTCTTTGGGAATGCAGTGGGGCTCTCTGAATTGGATTTCTACTAATTAGGTATGTTATGGACACCAGTGGATCTAACACAGGGGTGGGCAAAATATGGCCTGCAGGCCGGATCCAGCTTGCCATGGGATACTGTCTAGCCTGCTGCATTCATGCTTCTTAACCCTGCCCGGCCCAGGTGCATGGTGCAGCCCAGGCTGTCGCATGTGCAGCTAGTCCCTCCAGCCCTGGGCATGCAGTGAGACGGCAGCCAAACTCAGCTTCCTGGCAGCGGCGGCTCCTTTCAGCTGCTGGTGCCAATGCCACCACCACCACCAGACCTAGCCCCACTGCCCGGGCACTCTGACCCACACCCACTGCCAGGGTGCCAGACTGAGGGGGCAGGTGGGATCCCAGTATTCCTGGTTGGTATAGGATAGACAGGCCAGATAGGATCAGTTGCCTCTCTCCCCCACACCAGCAAGGGTCAACACACCTCCCACCTACCCAGGTCAACACCACTTCCCCTAACCTGCAATAGCTCACCAAAACTCCCTAAGTGGCCCTCCAGCCTAAATAATTGCCCACCCCTGCTCTAACATGAGAATGCTCCACACAGCTATAAAATAAGTTTAGAAAATTCACATTTAGAATGAGTGAACAGGGGAAAGTGTGTTAATGTAAAAAAGGAAGATGTCTCTGTTTGCCAAGACCAGCCCATGAATGAAATTAGTACTTACAATAAAGAAGGAGAAATATCATTGATCAAAACCAGACGCAGAGCACAGAACTATCTGGGATCCCTTTCAAGCCCGGCTCAGGGTTCCCAGGGTCATCAGCACTTCTGGCTGTTTTGGCCCTTTCCTGAGAAGAGCATGTTTTCTTGGTCTCATATGGCAAATATGGGTTTGTGCACTATGCACTGGAGACCAACTAAATCAAGCCTGGTCCCAGTGTACAAGGCGAGATGGCCAGGCCCTAAGGGCCTGATACCAGCATGCAGGGGCCAGGCAGGGCCAGGTGGAGGCAGTGCAGGGCCTGATAAGGACTTTAGAGCTTAAAGAAGAAGAGGAAGCTCCACATTCTTTGTTTCAGTATTTCTGGGGCCAATAAGGAACACGTTTTTTAGAAAAAGGAGATACAAAGTGCAGGAGGAAAGAAACCTAAAGAAAAGTTTTTTAAGGGAACTGGGGACAGACTGCAGAAAATAAAGAGGAGATGTCTCAGAGAAAGGTAAACCCCAACACACAGTAAGACAGTTGTATTTGAGTGTGAGGCAGCATATAACCAGAACTGGCCTCATGGGGGCAACCTAAACACATAATTGTCTTGGGTAGCAACTGCAGCAGTTTAGCTGCTAGTGTTAGTTGCGAAGTACTAGGTGTACAAAAGCTAATGATGGCATACTTGAACTGTGTGATGGAGTTCTAACACATTGTGCATATCTAGATTTCACCCTTTGGCTTGGAGGTCCTTGTTCTCCTAAATATTGTGTAGACTTTAACATGACCTTGTTTGCATCACAGCAACAATCAATGCAGAGTTCCACTGTTAAGTGCTTTTTGTTACCTTTAAAGCCAACAGAACACTCACACGGGATGACCATCAAAAATTTGCCAAGCTTGTTTCAAAGAAGTGGAAGCAAGTGGGTCGGTCTCTGCAGAAGAACTGCCGGGCTCTTCGGGATCCTGTGATTGACAACTTGGCCCTTGAATATGACCGGGAGGGACTGTATGAACAAGCATATCAGCTGCTTCTCAAGTTTATCCAGTCTGAGGGGAAAAGAGCCACGTTACAGAGACTGATAGCAGCCCTGGAGGAAAACAGTCTCATACACTTAGCAGAGGAACTGCTGGGCCTCCACCACAGTGACAACGACACATCATAGAACAAAAATGAAGGAGCCTCCCCTTGGGTGGTGGTCATATGTTCTAATCTGGAACTTGTCCTATTTCAGATGGTTTACAAGACTGTTGCCAGAGACCCAGGAATGTAGAGCCCTATTAACCAGCCTGGTATCCATTTCAGCCCAAAGTATAAGCTTGTGCGTTCACAAAGCTAGGCTGGTGCACTCAGTTAAGACAGCATTGATACTGATCCTTTCACTGTGCTGGCACAAGTCAGGGCTGTTATCTTCCAGTGGATTGGTGCAAATGGTTTCAAAACAGACTTCCGCATGCTACCCTCTAGTGCACCAAAGAGGAACTTTGTTCCACTACTGAGCATTTTAAAGAGCCATCAGGGTCTTTGAAAATTGTTTGGGAAACATTCTATACCAGGTGGTACTTGACCTCCAGCCTGTGGGCCAGCTCTGGCCCCCAGCACCGTGTCATCTAGCCCATGAGGCTCCCCATGGATCCAAAAATTTGGCAGTGGGGGAGCAGTGGTACTGCTATCCTGCTCCCAAATTTCCAGCCCCATGAGGAGCCCTGGGCCCTGAGGAGCAGAGGCAGTGTAGAGCCTGATCCTGACGCACAGGGCTTGATCCGGCCCACAGGCCAGCCCTCCGCTACTCATCTCACCCATGGGGTGAGAAGCTTCAGTTCCACTGTTCTATACAACTATTTAGAGAGAATTCTGTCCCTGTGTTCATAAAATTAAGGACATTTCACGAAACCAGAAACTTACCCACCTCATCCCAGTAAGAGTTTGCCTGTTCTTTCTTTTCCCACCTGGAGTCATCCTTCTTATTCTGTTGCAGTCTTAATCCTCCACATGGCAAACAGATGTAGCAGAATAAACTTCAGGTGGTAAAGAAGCAGTAAGGGCAAGCCAGGTTTGAAAAGATACTTGCAAAGTCAAAAAACAACTAAAGACCCAACCTGTTAGGTCTGTTAGGTTGTCTTATGTGATTCCCCACAATACAGACTTTGGGGGTCTTGCATACTAGAGGAGTCCATCCTTGGCAAGATGTGATTTAGTGACAGCCAGGAATTGGTTGTGCCTATGTGCCAGGATCACATGGTCTGCATTGCAATGATAAAGTTTGTGAAAAAAGATCCAGGGTCAGCATCCGTTCTTAGTCGCATCATGAGAAGACCATTGGCTTTATCAGGTTTGTGCATGATGCAACAGAGCAGAATTTGTGCCTTTGCCTATGAGAAGGTAACACAGCAGAAGTAGGATAGCCAGGTACAGGTCATGCAAACTAAAATATGCAGATTGATTTCTATTGGTACATTTTTTGTGACATCCTGGCAGCTGATCTTTGGGATATGTTTCCGTTATAGGGTGATGGATCTGCCCCAGCTGATAAGCATCAACTGGTTCTGCATCCAAAGTACAAAAGTTGTCCCATAGACAAGACCTGATAGCCTTTTAACCCTTTCGTATTTTAACATAGTCAGTACACCAGTGCTTTGGTAGAGACAAAGAAGTCCTTGATAAGGAAGTGCACAACCTGGATTCAGATGTAGGTGTGGCCATTTTTGTGAACCTACATGAGACATTCACTGTGCAGCAGCCCATGACTACTGCGTAGTAGTGTCACATGGAAGGAAATGTGACATGATGCCACTGCGCAGTAGTCATGAGCTACTGCGCAGTCAGCGTTACAAAAAAGCCATTCCTCGGTGCAGTTAGCATCTCATGAAGACACAGCCAATAAGAGTGATGCTAGAATGTATGCTGTACTCCTCTGTTTAGTACATGTGAACTAGATCATCAGACATTTAGGCACCTCTTTCCTGTTTAGGTGCCCAACTCCCTTTGATTTGAAGCTGTGTCCCTAGTGCCTAAAACAAGCTCAACCTGAATATTCAGTCTGAACCTCAGGAAGGTTTCATTTAAATACTGAGTGTGAATCTCCAAAGCCAGACATTTTTATATCCCAGTAGGATAAAGGAAGTATAAAATCTGGAAAAGCACATTTAGAAAATAATTTTACTCTCATTATCTTGCTTCTGCCTTCAAGGGGAGCAGTACTGGCGTCTGACTTCGGGCCACTAGCTATTTTATGTTTCTGCTAGTTCCTGGCAAGAGAACTTGTTTAACAGCCATTTTAAACATCAGAAACTTGAAAATCTCTTTTAAAAGATCAAATTTTTGCTCTTGCATTTTACAGTAACAATTTCTAGAATACATGATTATATGCATAGCATGCTGCCACTTGTATACTTAACATTTTTAAGCTATCAGTGTAGTAGAATCTTGTTGGCCATATATACAACTTTCCTATACATGGATTGGCCAGAGCCATCCAAAGGGAAAGCTGCCAGCTCTCTGCAGGAAACATTAATGCACAAAATTATGAGCATTAATCTTATTTTTCAACCTCTATTTTAAATCTGGGTTTGGTTTGGTTTTTATTGCTGTTGCCATTTTGCGTGGGACTCAGCATAAATTCATATTACAAATCTTGTACTTTTTTATCCCTCTGCAAGAAGTAGATATGTGTGTTCCCCTCTTACTCAGATATTCTCTCTCAAAAATGCCATAAATGTTGGAGTTCTTGGCCATTTATATAGTATTATGTACTATATAACAGTATTCACAAGTACTTTCATTTCATAGAGGGTTTTTTCCAGTGATGCTTTTAATAATGCTCTCACAAGTATGCCAAGTAGTTTAGGATCACCAGAAATGGTTATATTTCACAGCACCTTTTTTAGTGACTATTCATTCTAGGAGCAGTAACTATACACTAAACACAGTACAAAATTGGATTCTGGTCTCAGGCCAATCCTGTATTCCACAGATGCCTCAACTATATGGTTGTTAGTTTCGTCAAGTACTGCGACCAGACTCATGATGCAACTCATGGAAGTCCCTGGACCGACCGCTTTCATCTGGCATTCTATGAGGGACCCGATTCTGATCGCATCCCTGTTTTATATCAGTTTAATTTCACTTAAATCAGTGGAATTACACTCAATATGCACCAAATGTGTAAAAAGAATATGGCTTATGCACAGAAAAGGAAGAAGGGGAGCGTGTGAAATGAAAAGAAATAACAGGGATTTGGTGAATAATCTAAGGGCGGGCTGGTTTACCTCAGACAGTAATATGATGAGTGGACCCAGAGAAAGAGGTCAAGGTCACTGATGGACCTAGTGTGTCCAGCAATACAAGCTGAGCCACACTGCTACTACACAAGCATCGGAGTCTCAGCATATACTGTTGACCTGTTTGCGGGAGGAGTAAAGTTATGTTTTTTGCAATTCTGCTCCCCTGCCACATCACTTCTTATCAATGAGAGGCTCATGCAGGTTGCCTTTCTTGCCTCAATTCCTGCCTCTTATTGGTGTGTCACGTACATACACTTTTCACTCACTAAAATGCCAGATAAATGGCAAATGGCACTCCCTTACTACAATACTCCCTTACTACCCCTTATTACTACCCCTTATTTATTGTCTATTCTGCTCCTTATCTACTGCCCCCTGAAGTATACTATGGGTTTGTGATACCACTGAATGTGTCCTGCTAGCTTGGCACCTGCCCTGAACCTGAATGAGATTCTGTTAAGATGTATCTGCAGGTTTTTCCCCCTCAGGTCAAACGTACCATAAATAGAATAGTAAAAGAAACTGATTAGATGCATCAAAATTAAATAAATAGATAAATTACTAAATAAATGATGCAGACAAGGCCAAGGTGAATTTACTAGGAGGAATCTAAGAGGGCTTATTTTGCAGTACAGTTGTTTTTGTAGTGCTGTTTCAAATGTGAAAGTCTCTTCACAAGAAGAGTTTTAGCCAAGAGGAATTTGAATGATTTGTTTTACTACAGCTGAGCTAAAGGGCTTATATGGAGATAAAGAGGAGAACAAAGCTTAAAATGGCCACCACTTTTTGAATGCCACAATAATCTAACTACACGAGGGAAAGAAGTCAACCTGACAGGACATCTTTGTTGAAAGTTGTAATGGAAGAAAATGGAATATCTAATTGCAGTGGAATGTCTAACTGGCTATTAGGAATGGAATTCTGAAAAGGTAATGAAAGCAGAACACTTTTGATCCTATTAGGCTTTTCTGAAAAATTGCACGGTAACCTAGTGCTTCTGAACCAGGGTGCCAAGACACCCTGGGGTGCCTTGAAATCCTTTCAAGCATGTCATTGGGGTGCCACACAAGGTTAGCACTGGTTGGCATGCAAACATGATTCACAAAACTAAAGGCTGCTTATACACATTCTGGTTCATATTCTAATTAGAATGCTCCAGATGACTTCATCATCACATGTATAAGCCCCCACAGTTTAAAAATAGCCTCTGGGGTACTTTATCTAAACCTCATCAAATGAGGTTTAGATAAAGCACCCATCCCCATTCAGGACCTGTGGGGGCTTAATATACATGATGGTAGGGCATTTTAATTAGAGCAGCTTTCCGGGAACTGCTGTAATTAAAATGCCCCCCACCCCCAAGCACATCGTCTAGACAGTCAAATATTCGGACCTGTTGTGGTCTTTCTGAGTTATATGCAACAAGAATTGCTCTATTATTTTTATGTAGTTAAAAATGGAGCGAAAACAAAGGGCTGCCATTTTCCAGAGCTTGCCTTGATACTATTGAGGGATACCTTGATCCTAGCTAAAAGGTTGAGACCCAGTGCCCTAACCTAATTCAGCCAGGGAAGGAAGAGTACACCATATTGCTTATTCCATCAGCTTCAATTCTCACATACACAGCACAGACTCATGGCACAAAGCATTGTAATTCAAGAACTATGAATGATTCCAAGGATAACACAAGGTTTTCAGTATTGTCAATACCAGGCATTCAAAAATCTTGAAATTAATTTACAAAGGATGAGAGTATAAATACATTGGAGCTCTTTGTTTGACACCTGGTGTCAGCACTTGTAAGGTTTTATCATCCCAGACATCATGCAAGTTAAAAACTTAATTCATTTTTAATGAAAGCTGAGATTCTGATCTCATACTATTTCAGGACATAGGGCTTTAAGAAAAGTACTGCGATTTACAATAAATTTGTAGGCATTAGCAACATTTGGTTTTAATAAGTAGCAAATCATAGAACTATGTATACATACTTCTGAAGTTGGAGGAAAATGAAAATGACAAGACACACTTCATATTACTCATTAAGTTAATACCTGAAGGGATGTAGGCTTAGAGCTGAGGAGAAATGCTTACTAAGAAAAAATATCAGGATACTTTGATTTTGGAATAGCCCAGATGTAAGGCCCTGTTTTACTTTTCATCTTGGAGCTGCCTCCCCATCAACCTGTACGTAACAAGACTAGTAGGAGCATGCTAGCAAGCTGTTGGCCACATGGCTAGGACAAGTTCATCCTTCTCTAGATTCAAAGTGAACCCCAGAATCACCTCTGAGCCTCAAAACATGTTTCACCAAAATCAGAAGCCAGAAATGGACACAGTGCAATGAAAAGCCTGTGAATTCATTCAAACTGCTGGTTTAGTTTGACTGGAAATTCTCACAAAAAATGTACCTGTAATTATTACATTATGTGCCCTGAGCCACTGAGATGGTAGAAAGACACTGGAAAGGGAGATAATAAGGAATGTTTTCTGGACAGTAATGGAGGTATAGTGATTTACACAGTTTAGAATTTAACCCTGTGTCCTCTGGGCAAAGTTCAAGTCAGGATTTGAACATTGCAGCTGTTCCTTGTTTAAATCAAGGGCTAAACCATAATTGAGGTCTCCAAGCCAAATAGGAGATTTGGCCACACAACCCTCAGTCATTTCAAGAAGAGTGAAGTGGCTAAATACCCTAGTCAGCTCTGAAGATCTCATAGATGAACTCCTCTGAATTCCCCTGAATTTTGGCTCTAGGTCTGGATCAGCAGTTTAAGACTGCCTTTGAAGTTGTTGATAAACTGGAACACTGCATATGCCCACATTTTAAGTATGGCATTTAACCTTAGATGGCATTTAGTCTCATGGTATTCACCTTTTAAACTAGAGAGCACTTTGTTCTGTTTTTTCTTATTTGTCCTATAAGCAAACATATTTTTGGTGAACATTGTATGCATGAGAGACTATTTTTACAAAGTTTTTAGCAAGGGAAATAAAATTACTTTGGTCTTCTCTGTCTGAGTGATCATTTGTTACTCAGTAAAGCTTACTAAAAAGAAGGTGACAAAGATAAAAATGACACACTAAAGCTTTGAATAGTACGGTCATCACTGTCTCTGAAGAGTCATCCAACTGAAAGATTCTGAAAATAGAGGAGAATTTTCCTGTCCAAAACTAAGGAGGTGCAAATCCTGGGTGGATTTGAACTCTCATGACAGTTGTGCAAATCTCAGTCATTTTGGTTTGTAAGGGTTGATGTCCCACCTACAAGTTAATTGATTTTGTTTCCAGTTGAAATTAGGCTAAACCCTCATATTTCATAGTTTCCACCTAACACTGATGGACCTTTCAGCAAACATGACGAGAAACGGAGCACAAAAATTGAAGACTGGCAAATTTTCCCTAGATTCTTTCAATGTCATTGTGTGTGACACAGTCCGCCTACATGATTCTTATCAACCATAGTACGCATGCAGTTTACAAACATAAACAGACCTATCCTCACATCCCTGAAAGGCACAGAAAGGTTATTTCCATTTTATAGATGGGGAGTAGAGGCACAGGGGCAGTAAGTAGCTTACTCAAGGTCATACAGAGCTGGAAACTAAACCCAAATTCAATGATGCCATTATTTCACCCTAGATCTTGAGACCAATACCTCTACCACAAGATCATCTTTCTTCTGCTTATCACATGTCTTTAGATCTAACCACATGGATTAAGGCGCAGGGACAGTCTCACAGAATACAGGACTCACTGCCTTACTGGTGGATAGAATATTTGAAACCAACCCTGAAATGTTTGTATGCTGTTTCACAAGGTAGCACATCACTCATTTAAGGCTTTATAGGTTTGCCTGAACTTTCTGCCCAACCAGTGGTCTTTGGGATAGAGTCTAAACCTTGCAAGACAGGAAGATATACAATGGGATAGAGAACCTATGCTGGCCCAAAGAAAACTGTCTTATACATGATATGGACAATGGTGTGACGAGACTGCTAAGAAAGAATAAAATGGTTCTCCTTAACTATCCCCACAAGGTCTCCATACCTACAAGGCCATGTGTCATTGCTAGTACATTCACTATACACTGAGTCATTGAACTACCCAGATTTTTTTCTAGATTAAAAGCTCTACATTGATACAATGGGCCTTTGATTTACAGCCAATGCTGCTATAGCTCTTCCAGTCTACCAAAAATTTTAGAAGGTGTATTTCTACACATTTAATAACATTCATTATTTGCAGTGTAATAGATTTCAATTTTTTTTCCACTGGAAACCAAACCCTCACATTTATTTTCATTTTGATCCTAATCAAATCAAAATTAATTTTTGATTGCAAACAAAAATCATTTTGACAAAAAAATTAAAGTCTGTGATAGAATATGAACAAAATGAAAATGGTTTGTGTCAAACAATGTCAAGGAAACTAATTGCCATTGTTCAGGCAGCTCCAGCATTCAGTAGTGGCACTCTGCCTGCCTGTACATGAGTAAAGAGAGAGTTAATTGGTGTTTGGAAGTCTCCACTCAGAAACCAAGTTTTAATCCCCACCAACTGACATTCTCTGCCCCTTTATGAGGAGTTAACTTTATTGTTCCAAGCAGACTACGTGGAACGCTTTCCAGATTTGACAGGCAAACCATCCATCATTGTACTCTCAGACACACACAGCGAGCAAATATGCAATACCAGCAAACATCAGCAGTACTCTATAAAGCTTCCCAAATCCTGAGTACGGAGACATTTGCTTATGTCACATGACCAGGACTTGGAGCCTAACTGAATTACTTTCCTTCATGCAGTTTCCCCTTTCACCACTACAATGCAAAAGTGTCTGGAAAGAAGAAATGTAGAGTGTTGTCACAAGCCATATTAACACATGCACACAAATGTACATGCATGCATGGAAGAACTGCAGTGGCTTCCATAGTGAAAATGGCCCAAAATGCAGGACTTGCAGCACTGCTTTGCTCAGCAAGGATTTCTTCTGTTTCACTCAGAGGCTAAGGAATGCCTACAGTAACCATATCCAGATGTGCCTACTTGGCAACCCGCTGATGAAACATTGCTGAGGAGACACAGGATCTACACTATTGAATTGAATGTAAGTATCTAGTATTTATGTTTGATCGTGGGGGTGGGGGAGGGGAAGAGTGTTATACTAAAGGCAGTATGACTTGGAGACTTTTGTAGAGTCATACTTTTATTCAATCTTACAGCTTTTTGTTCCGACAGCATTTTTAAAGAGAAGCCATGCAACTGTGATTTGTGAACATGCAACAGCAGCAGTTAAAATCTACTTGAATTTGCTGTTTCTGGCCCACGTTGCACAGCTTGCTCTTTACTTTGCAATAGGATCTTCTTTGTATGGTTTAGTTTGCACATTTACAAGAAATTAGGAGGTTTTTCTGGAAAACCTTGGAGCTCTACCTTTCCAAAAGTAAATGTGTGAAAATTTAGGCATGATACTTACAAGGACACCCTCCTGTGGGTGCATTCACAATGTTTATGAAATTCTATTAGCGACATTTATCTATTCTAAAATTTTGGATTTTAGTATTTTCTTACACTTGTAAGCTTTGTGTTATATGTTGTTCCAAGTTAACAGAAAGCTAGCATTGCTTATTTTTAACAGCTGTGGGTTGGATGATGGTATTCTTATACACATTGCATCTTACTTCATGACTATCCCATTTAAATTGATATAGAGCTACTAACAGAGTAAAGTGCTAATAAATTATCAAACTCTAATGACAGAAGATTTGTATGGAAATGCGTGAAGTTTAAACCTGTTTCAGTTGCGATTCTTAAGTGCCATGTCATCAAGACAGGCCAGTTTTAAGTAATTCAGAGAGAAAGAGAGAGAGATTAATACAGAATCGAAGATAGAACAAGAAAGACCATAAATAACACAGATAGCTGGAGTAAACAGTACTTTATGACAGTCATCTATTACTTTACGGAGCAGGAAAACAAAATCCAAAGATTTATGCTCACTATACTATTGGCCTGCATTTTGATTCTGGAGTTCAGGGGACATGCAAGTCAAAGTTTTCAGAAACAGAAGGCTAGCGACAGGCTCCATGCTGAGTGCCCTGATTTATAAAAGCATTGAGCATTTGTTCACTTCAGCAAGGAGTACAGAGTGGGCTGTTGCTCAGCACCTCTGAAAATCACACCAGCTATATAGGAGCTTAAGTATGGATTTAAGAAACCTAACTTGAACACTGCCATTTTTTAAACATCATGACTGTATGCTGCAAACCATCAGAAGCTCCCTTAAGATACATGTTAGAATCTGAATCCAATGATAAAAGAACACTTTCTGCGAGTAGCTGGATTGGGAATCTTATTCAGATAATGTGCACAAAGGTGTAGACTGGGATGGGCTCCGTTATGGATGCGGAAGATAACTCAGGATTCAGAGAACCTTCTCTTTTCCACCCCTGCCACACACATCTGTAGTTTGTCAACAGTCTCATGAAAGATCAAAGTAGTTGCTCCCTTAGTGAGATCTCAGGGTTACACGATGCTTCGCAAGGGGTTATTCAGGAAGGGAAGCAGGGTTGCAGTCCCAAATCCTGGACAACCCTTACACCAGACCATGACTGTAATCACTTCAGCAAAGTACTCATCTAATAGCTTCAGGTAAACAGGGATGCTGGATTGGGTCCAGTGACTGCAAAGTGTTTTACCCCATTGGCTTCTTTCAATATCTTACACTCATAATGTTGTGCTAGAGACAGCAGCGGCTTTCCTCTGCATTTCAGTATTTGCATCTGATACCTAATCAAGTGGAAACTAAAACCAAATGTCTAGACAGCCTTGCGTCTAAGATGTTTTTAGAGCTTTTCTCAGAGTCTAATTTTGGGCATCCGTTGCCCTGAAACAAAAAGGCTGACAGAACTGAAATATGACATGAGGGGCTATGTGACCAAGTGTGACCCACTTGAAAAAGTGATTAAAGCAGCTTGGAAAGGAGTGAAATCATACTCCTAAGAATCTTTGCAAATAGAAAATTAAAAAGAAATGTATCCTGTCTTGTCCTGTTATAATACGGATTTAATTGTTAATATGTCCTAGCCTGTGAAGGGGTTTTGTAACCTCTAGGCCTCTATAGGCTACCAAAGGACAAATATAAATATAAATAGAGATGATCAGACATTTTAAGGTCCAGATCCATGCAGAAGCATCATTCTGGACAAACCACATTCCTGTGTTGGCTGAAGGCTCAAAAGCTGCTGGCTTGATGCAAACTGGTTTTTTGCACCATAGTGTATGTACAACAGTAGCACACAATACTAGAATTAGAGAAATAATCATTATTTACGATTAATTGCCTATAAAACATGATGTAAGGAAATGCTGGAAGATAAAAAAGCTGAGCAGGGCCTTTGCTAACTTCCATACGGGTTGTTATAAAGAGGATGGTGATCAATTGTTCACAGTGCATAAAGGGGATAGGACAAGAAATAATGGGCATGTATACACATGTATTTACGTGTGCCTAAACTTAATGCACCTTTGTTTAAAGCGCATTAAGGCTATTTAGGTGTGTGTCTACACATGGACGCGCTAATGTGCATTAAGGTACATTAAAGTTAGGTTCAAAGTGTATTTATACACAGACTTTTTTTCCAGTGACGCGCCGGAGATCTGCCGCTTTGGAGCAGACTTGATTAATTGAGTCTGCTCTGCATGCAAGCTGAGGCAAACTGCACTGTGCTGCATACAGTTGTATAAGCAGTGAACTGCACATCAGCATGCAGAAAATGGCAGCGGTGCACTTTTGAACTAAAGCTCAAAGCACGCTGCCACCATTTTCTCAGTGCTGACATGCATTTTGTCACTTATACAACTGCATGCATCACAGCACCAGGCGCTTTTCAAAGCACCCAGTGCTGTGATGCATGCATTTGTAAAAATACCCAAGTAACTAAGTCGCATTAGCGCATGTACAGTCTTGCTAATGCAACTTAATGTGGTATGTGTCCATTGATGCACACCATGTTAATATGCATTAGTGCATCTACACATGCACTAATGCAACTTAGCAATTCACGCCTAAATTTAATTCCTGCTTTATGCAGGTATTAAATTTAGGCTCACATAGCGTTAACTCACCGTTTTAAAGGTGCAGTAAGGGGGCACACATGCAGACATGCACCCTTAATGCACCTTAAAAATTACGATTTTAGGCTAAGTCTGCTTAAAAGAAGCATGTGTAGACGCACCCAATGGGCTTAAATTAAAACAAGGAGATTTAGGTTAGATATTAAGAAGAATGTCTAACTGTAAGCACTTTTCACTTAGAGATACTATGAAATCCTCTGTTACTGCTGCAGGTTAGTACATTTGTCTGGGATGGTTTATACAGAGGAATGATCCTGCCTTGAGCAGAGGATTGGGCTATCTGATCTCCTGAGGTCTTTTCCAACCTTATATTTCTTTGATTCTAATATTTATAATTCAGTAGCTTCTAAGAGCCTCAGCAATGGCCAGTTTCTCTTGGTGCTAGGTGCTGTACAAAACATAACAAAGACAATCCCTGCTTTGGAAAACTCACAGTCTTTCAGCATGGAATTCATCAAAGCCCACTCAAAATAAACAAGGAATGCTTGAATTAAGTTCAGTGGGCTTTGGATCAGCTCCCAGACTTGTTGGAAAGCTCTGTAAGATGTTCAGCTAATCAAATCTTACAGGAAAATTTCAGTTTGTTTATAGATTTGGAAACTTCTAAGAGTCTTAACAAAGCACTTTTTTTGGTAAATCAGTTTACTGCTTGCATTTGTTACTTCATTTTCTAAGGCTTTATGCTTTATTTCATAGCTTCCCAAGGGCCTCTCTCCGTTTCAAAGCATTTTGTCCATAGTTAGATCAAGATCAAACCACTCAGCTTTGCTTTGTAATTTTAGATCTTCAAATTAAACCTCCTTATGAGATACCCCTTTTCCATGCACTTAGAGAAGCCCACATGGCACCATATCCATTTATACTATAAACTTTGATGAGGTTTGTGACTTTGTCTGAAAAAAGAGTCAAGGCTGAAACCTGACATGTAAGACTCAAGACCACAAATGTAGCGGATTTCTTTTTCTTTAAAAATTACAATGGTATTTTTCTAAATGCTTTAGAAACTTTATAGTTGCCATAATTTCCATTGGATAGATGCTGGTGTGCTTGCAGATGAGACCATTTTTGCATTCACAATCTTGAACAGTTAGAACTTATTATGACTCTGATTTTTTTTTAAGTAAAGTTTTCAGGTACATGCATCAGAATTAAAATTGTATTGAAAACCAACAGGATGCCTCAGAGGCTCTCTGAAGAAGTCAAATATGGATATTGTCTGAAATTCTGTATACATGGAAATTTGCACTAAAATTGTAACTGTAAGTGTATGATATTAAACCAGTGCAAAAGCTGTTTATGGACAGTCTTAATTCAGCATAAGACAGACTTATTTCAGTTTTGAATCCTATTTTCTATTTATCTAAAGCAACAGAAGCCCAAACAAGTTGCTCTTTAATCCAAGGGAGTGGCCACACAGGTATACAGTGGCTTAACAACAAATTTAAATTACACCAGTTAAACCAGTGCAGCTTTATAGTGGAGACAAGGCCTAAATCTAATCAGAAAGAGGAATAACTATAAAAAATGGGTGTACTATGCAGCTCCAATAAGGAGACTAACATATAGCAGCTCACATAGACATACCTAAGGTAGAAATTAAACAGTTGAGGTTTTTACTCAGCTTCTCAGATAGGTTTTGCAACCCATATTGAAATCCATGCTGCCATATAGCTTTACTCCTAGTAGTATCTGACCTAACTAGTTTAAAGCCAAGTTTGTTATGGCTGCCAGAGCTGCAACCACTCCTTTGTCTGCAATGTATACACACCTTATGTGGGCAAGGGTTTGAGCAACATCCTGCTTTCAGAAGGATTGTTTTCTCTCTTATTCTGCTGTTCTTATTGCAGCCAGTATATACTTCTCCTCTCAGCGCCCCCTGCACCCCTTCCCCCTTACCTACCCTTCCCTTTCTTGCCAGGCTGCTCTTTCAACAAAGCCTTAATCCTTTGCCCAGAGTAGGATTACAATGGG